CCACTGCTGCCTGGTTGCAGAAGCTCCCCTGCCCCTTGCCCTGGCAACACAACTCCCCTGGCCTCTCCCTCTGCTCCAGCCCTGCAGCTCCCTGGGATGCCCATATCCAAGCCAGCTGACCAGCTCCAACTCCACCAAGCACGCCCACCTCCCTGCAGCCGTATCTTCTGACCTGCAGCTCTCATCCCCAGCAACACAGCGAGGCTCTATTTCTGAAAGATCATTTTTAAAACAGTTCGAGCCTTCCCCACATACACTAGATTCCTTCCCCAGCATTTTTAACCTCTGCTTTGTGTTTCAAACACTTCACTGAGTCCAGAGAAATAATTTGTCACTACAATTTCCCATCTGCTAGCTATGAAGTTAGCCATTTGTTAAAATATGGATCTGGTAAGGTCTGTGTTTGATTCACGCTCCCCCAAATCCAATGAGGATTAGAACTAATTCTCAAAAATCATCAAAGCTGAGAAAAGGACCCGCAGAGCTCTGCAGAGCAGGGCTGGCCAGGCCACTTCTCTTGCGGTTTCAAAAGCAGCAGTGCAGAAACATACCAGCCAGAGGAAACAGTCTGCTCCACAAGGATCTGGCTCAATCTTGGTCTCTCTATTCTTTCGTTTGTACACATTAGGAGTAGCATGAAAAGCTGAAAAAATAATAGTTATCTTTACTATTAGCATCCTCCAAGGGTCGCCCCCCACACTGCAAGGGACAGGGGCAGCACAAACTCAACCAAGGTAAGTGGCAGCCTGGGCCAGGGCAGCAAGAGCGCCCAAGCAGCTCTGCCAGCAGCGGGGAACGAGGCAGCAGGACCTCCTGGCCAGCCCTGCTCCAATCCACGACGGGGACCCAGCAGCACTGGGGGAACACTTGGGAAGGAGAGGCCATAGGAAAAAGATCTGCTTTCAGACCAAAAATAAAAAGACCACATGATCTTAATATTATATCTTTTAATAAATAATTGACTGGAAAGAGTCCTGTGACTTTCCAAGGAAGCCCTCAGACCTGGGAAACAGCAGGTCCAACAGCTAAGCAGTATCCAAAAGGCTTTGGCAGGACAAACCGCGGGAACATGACTAAGATGAAGCTGTAAGTTCCAGTGAGGCAACAAAACACAGGGGCAAGTCCAGACTTTGGAAATGAAACATTCATGCCTTTCCCTGATGAGCTTCTGCAAAGCAAGGGCAAAGTCTAGTCGCAGCAGTATTTCTAGCACAAACTGCCTGGAGGCTGGAACGCAGCGTGCTGAACAGTGGTGAGAAAGGGGATGGCCAGGCAGGTCGTTTTACCATCCGTGTGAGGAAATGAGTGGAGCCATCTTTACAAAAGGCTTCTGGGCACCTGTCAGCTCCTAAGGCTCCACTGCCAACGCCGGGGAGGCACCACCCTCTAAAGCTGCAGCACAGACACTAAGCAAGGTGTACAGAGGTACGAAGCACTGAGGAAAAATGAGGAGAAAAGGGCTCTAGGGAAGCGTCCGGCCGAGACTGCACTTACGATGCAGAAAACAGTCGTATTTGAAGCAGCGGCGGCAGAAGAGGGTGTGGAAGGAGTGCAGGGACTGCTCCCGCTGCACCGACTTCGCGCACGGCCCGTCTATGTTGGGAGTGCACTGAGGCGGCAGCACGTTGGGGTCCGACACTTCCGTCAGCTCCCGGTACCTATTGGACAAACAGAAACACCCACAGACGTGGCAGCTTTCCCAGTTTGGGACATCTCACATGACTCCTTTACCATCTGGGTCAGCAGGACTCTGGCCCAGATACCCTGAGACTAAACTCAAGTTTCTAAGGCTCAAAAATCCCTCTGGTGATGGTGCCTGAGCAGCCAGTCGAGTTCTACTTTCTGGTCAGAGAACTGTGCTGTTTTTTTTCCAAAATACAGATTTCAACTGTTGCTAACAAAGGTAACAGACAACTTAAGCAGAGATCCTCTACCTCTCTTTCATATCATCTGGGAAGCCATATTCAGGAAACATAGAAGAAATAGCAGTGAATATCATGTCATTTGGAAACCGCTTCTTCGAACACTTCTTGTTACCTAAGAAAAAGGAGAGAGACAATTCCTCAGAGAGGCTGGATGTGAACGTGTCCTTCCTTCTCCCACAGAGAGCGATTCCCGTGGGTGTTCAGGACTGTATTTCAAGAGACAGAAATGTAATCCCCTCTGCAATGGATAAGCCTTTTGTCCTGCAACCAGGCTAAGGCATTTCCAGATGCAGTGCACTCTGCTGCTCTCGGAGCAGCATAAGATATTGATGGAATTACAACGATTTCTTGAGGACTATTTATTTTTACCAAGACTGAATTTGCAGACAATGCTTTTCTGCATCTGCAAAAGGTCCTGGTATTTGTGCTACCCCTATCACTATAAACCAAAGACAGAACTACCAGTCAGCATTCCTAAGGTCAGGCAGGACACAAGAAAATCCCACAAACCCGAGCTTCCTCTATGCAACAAGAGCTCCAGATGGCACAGGAGAGGGAAGAGGAACACTAATACATGGAAAACGGGTCTGGAAGGGATTTGAGAAGGTCCACCTCCCTGCCCTAGAGCAGAATCAGATCTACCTACAAACTTGCTGACAGAAACCTCCAAGAGCAGAGATCCCACAGCCTCCTCAGATAACACCCCACTGCTTTGCTAATCTTACCGTGAAATAATTTTCCACATGACTCATCCAAATTCTTCCTCACCACACTTTAAGCTGGTGATTTATTATTCTGTCCACAGGGGACAGTGAGAATGATCTCCCTCCTGCTTCCAACTACCACAGCAGAACGTGCCACACTGGGCACTGCCCTTAGCAACACATTAATAACCAAGAGCGATGGCAGGACAGCACTGGCCAGCTACCTGGGCAGGACAGAACGGAAACGTGACCAACACGGCCCCAGCTTCTGTGGCCAAACCCACCTTCCACTGCAATTCGCTTTCTTTTCCTTGTGACTGGCAGCTCCTCTTTGCCATCCTCCTGTTTAACCTCAGAATCATTGTGTCCTTCCTCTTCCTCATCCGAGTACTGATTCAGGGCATTCACTAGCTCCAGGAACACAGCATCGCTGATGAGGACTGACCCTGAAATCATTTCTGAGACAGAGAGATGCCAGTCAGTTTGTGGGAGGGCCGTCCTCTTCCACACTCCTCGCAGTGGTAGATCACAAACCAGCCACACAAGAGCGCTGGCAACTAGAACCTGCCTCACAATTTTGTAGGAATAGGTGGGATTTTAATGCTAGAGCCATAAGAGCAGTGTATCATTTTTAGCAGTTGAAGGACAGGCCATACCAGAGTCTTCCACTGCCCTCTTCCCTCCAGGCAGAGTTTTATGATGGGGTAGGCAGCACTGTAGGGAACCTTTTCATTTCAGAAAAGACTCATTGAGGCCTTGGCTAATGTCACAAGCCAAACAAGGCTGCTGAGCTCCTCCCAACCTCTAGCACAGTTTTCAGCACCCCAGAGCACTCCTGTGAACAAGAGCATTGGCTCCAGAGCACCCCAGGCCTAGAACAGAGCAGGATAACAGCAGGCAGGACCTGTCTTCTTGCAGACTAGCACAGCAGGCACCTTCCTGTTGTTTTGCTCTAAGAGCTCCCACAGAAAAGCGAGTTACTGCTGCCACCTTTTGACTTCGTAACTAGTTTGATATGTTATTTGCAAGAGACTGAATGGACAGTGCTGACCATGACCAGGTTACCTTCCTCTCCATGAACCTTCCCATCATAGTTATTAATAAGCTCTTCAATGAAAGTTTCATCTTCTTCCTTCACCTCATCTCCCATGTAAGGGATATTGCACAGAACAGTTTCATCCTCCACCTGAAAAGAGATCAGAATCAATTCAGAGCAGCAGTGCTTGCCGACTCTCAGCCAGGAGTGCAATTTGCTTTAAAAATGAAGACCTGTGCCTGCAAGGCTTTAGAGAAACTCAGAAACACAGACACTGCCAAGAACAATAAACAGCCAAACAACGTCAGAGAGATCGTGTTGAAGGCAGAGCAGTGAAAGGCAAACTGGTAACTCACTCCCTGGAGGAACACAGCCAAAGCTGAGGAGCTTTCTCACATCACCTGCAGCAGCAAGGACACTGGACCCTCATTGCCATGGCAGCACCGAGTGTCACTCTACCCCCTCACTCTGCTCTGGGAGGTTTCAGGAAGCCCAGTGGTTGCAGGAACACACCCACACCCCACACTGGGCAAAGAGCCAGGCGAGCCACAGATCACCTGCTTGTTTAACAAATAATCTTAACTACGCCACGCCAAAGATCTGCATTTCAATCACTCCCTGCACGGTCATGATAGAGGAACTGATACCCAGCAGCACCTGTACCAGACCAGCAGGGAAATCCAGTCACAAAGGAAAGGACTTTGCCTAAGAAATAAAACTCTTCATTTAAAAAGGAAGAAAAACCTTAAGAAAAAAAACCAAACCTCTCAAAAACAGATTTACTCCTTGAATCCTGTGAAGTAACAGTGGCCCTATGAAGGAGTCAGGTGTAAAGGAGACACTAGCTGGGGATGCAACGCTGCTTCATGGGATTCAGCAAAACAAGCAATTAAAAGAATACTTTCTGTTCCTCTCGAGCAGACATCACTTGAAACAAGTGGGTTGAAGAGGCGTCATCACTCCACAACCACAGAACAATTACAATTAACTGCACAGAGATCTTGCACCCCAGAGCTTCCTACATACCATGAAATTCTGCTGAAGAGGGGACCAGGAGTACATAATGGGCACCAGTGCCACTGTGTTCAGGGTCCTCATGTACAGCGTCTGGCTCGGAAACCCCGGGAAAATGCTCTCCACAGTGCACTGGAACAGGAGCACAGGGAAGGGCCATGAGGAAACCGCCCCGAGAGGCACCGCAGCCAGCGGGAAACCGCGGATCCGGACACCGCGGAGCCCCGCGCTGGCCCTTGGGACTCCCCAGGAAAGGCCTTGGGAGGCTTTTTTCCCATTTCTGCCTCCCAGACGAGCGTGAGGCACAGCCTGACACTGACACAGGATGGCACACACAAAACAATCCCATTTCCTCACAGCTCCCTGCAAAGCCCTGGTCCCAGCCCACCCTCACTCCACACCTGCTTTAGGAATGGGTGCCCGCTGACCGGCTTCATCAACTGCACTGGCTGGACTCGAAGCTTCTTCCAGTCTTCATTCAGAATTTGAGTCTTTTCATGAACCTTGGCAAAGTTGGCCACAAACAGAGCCTGAAATGAGCAGAAGCAGTGCTCAAACTTAAGAAATCACGTTGAGAACATCAAAAGCCCTCCTGAGATTTTGTTTCAAGTATCAAAATGTATGCAAGGCAGAGTATTTCAAATTGATGACACTCATTAGAAGAGATTCTAATTAAACTCAGCTTTGGTATAAAACTGTGCTGACAATGGACTCAACAGCCAGTAGCTTTGGGTAACTCCTGATCCCAGCTGACCTCTGCTAAAACCCTGCCTGCCCGGGAGAGGAGCAGCAGAGCAAGTCATCCGAGACCCACCAGCACTGAGAGGGTCTGAGCAAGGAGAGACTCCGAAGAACAAGTGGAAGTGAGTCCCCTGGCTGCAGTTACCCAACGCTCAGCCCACAGACACCTCCCTCTGTGCCAGACTCTGGCTGCAGGGCTCCAGGCTCCGACTGGAGCATGAGGACAAGTATTACCTCTTCACACTTATCCAGCTTAGAACTCAAATAGAGCTTTGCAGCTGGCAGGATGAAGCTCCCATCAAGGTGCAGGATGAAGCTGCTCAAATTCTCTAAGGGAAAGCCAAGTTTTAGGAGGGATCAGCTGGAGCTGCTGTCGCTGCCTTTACCTTGGCGCCCATGTTCGCCTGAAACCTCTTGAGCTGCCGCAGACGCATGTATTCAGACTTGACTTTTCTTTTCCAGTATATGATGCACTTTGACGTCGGGGGGGTGGCGATTTCCATTTTTCTATAAAAATACGGAAAAAAAAAAAAAGTCAAATACCAGAGAGTTGGAACCTGTAAACAAGGGAACAACCATCCCCGCGGACTGGGACTGCATCACAGACCCTGACGAGGGAAAAACAACCACACACCCCTGCCCCGCTCCTGCTGCCGGACAACCGGGGA